TGGCCTTGAGGGGAAAGGAGGGGTGGCCGTGAGGAAGGATCATGAGGAGAGAGGAGGGGCAGCCATAAGGGAAGATCATGAGGGGAGCGCAGGGGCGGCCATGGAACATGAGGGGTGGCCATGAGGGGAGACCTTGAGGGCAGATGAGGGGTGGACATGAGAGGTAGGGGCGGCAGCCATACAGTGTGGGGCCACTGTGGGGGGAAATGAGGGGTGAGTGTGAGGGGAGATCCGTTTGCCCCTAGTGACATGGGTTAGTGGTGTCCTCGGCAGTGCTGGGGTAAGGGTTGGGCTCGATGATCTTAAAGGTCTTTTCCAACCCAGTTGATTCTGTGACTCTAGGGAGAGGGTGCTGGAGAAGCAGGCACTGGCAGAAGCCCTGGGGACTGGGGGTTTGGGCTGAGGATGGCAGGGACCAGGTATTTTGGGATGGCATGGTGGGTGTTTGGGGGGTGAGGGGCTGTCTGCACCCCCTGTGCTGGAGGAGCAGCCTGCCCTCCCCTCCAAGGGGTGCCGGGAGCCCTTGGCACAGCGTGCCCTCCTCGCCTCTTGCCCAGGAGCCATGTACACCACGAAGCTCTTCACCCTGGTCCTGGTGGTGCAGCCGCAACGCGTCCTCCTGGGCATGAAGAAACGCGGGTTCGGAGCGGGGCTGTGGAATGGCTTCGGTGGGAAGGTGCAGCCGGGGGAGAGCATCGAGGAGGCTGCTCGCAGGTGAGCCGGTGCCCTGGGGAGAGGTGGGTTCAGGGCACAGGTTGGGCTGTGGAGGTGTTAGTTCATTTGTGGTGGGGTAACAGCAGCTCAGCCGATCAGTAATGCCCTCGTAACCAGTGTGTAAGCCACCAGTGCTGTCCTGAGCCATCTCTGAGTAGAGAAAATGGCCTGCTGCACAGGTGATGAGAGATCAGGCACATGAACAAAGAAGGGATGGCTCCCCATTGCCTGTCATCTGCAAATCTTTAACTGTCTTCCAGTCTATGAGTAACGAGAAGTTAGTGTCCTCCCTACCAAAAGCTGTGATCTAAACTGAAACTTTGCCTGCTAGTGGTGAGCAGAAGTTTCTGCACTGTTCGTAAAGATGCAAAGTTTAATTTTGGCTATATAGCAGAATTACAGCTTATGCCAGCATACTGCTTAGTGTTTAATGTTGAAGCTGTTGAACAGATGCTACCTTCCAGTAGAGAAAATGTAACAAAACAGAGATTTTTAGGGGTCCCTTATGAAAGGCACTGTAGAAATTTCTTATTTGACTGCACGGTAGCATTTGAAGCCTTAATGCTGAGCTGGGGAATTGAACTCCATCAGTACGGAGGTGCAGTACCATTTTTGAAGCTTTTAGTACTTATTCCTCAAAGTTCTGTCTAGTCATTAAAATGAAATATCAGAAGGCAGCTGAATTGCTAAACTCCCCTAAAAATCAGGTACCTCATTCTTTACATAAACATTGTTGATATAAAGCCACACTTCACCACCTCCTCTGTTCCTGGTAAATGCCCCAAATTGCCCTTGCAGCTGCAGGAAGATCAGTGTTGGTGTAGCTCAACAGCTACCCAACAGCTTTTTACCTGAACCATCCCCTCAGCTGTGCCAGTACAACCAGCTGGGTTCTGTGGTGAACTCTTCCAGGGGACGGAAGGGCCCTCTCTGCAGGTGTTAATGTACCTCATGCTTACATTGTGGCTTTTCATGTAATTTATCATCTCTAAGAGGAGGGAGATCAGTTTTGTTACTTAATTCAGGCTTGCAACTGTGGTGGGAAATGACTGAATTTAGCACTTGATTTCCTAGGTGCGTGTTTGTGCTAGTCTGGATTTAGAAACCAAAGCTTTAGTCCATACGAGATGTTGAGTGAGAAAGGTGTCATCCATCCCAGTGCAACGTGCCACAGGAACAGGCAGTGCCTGCTGCTGTGGAGTGCACAACAGTCCAGTCCTCGTCCCTTTCTATGCAGCTGGTATGAGCTTACTGCAGCAGCACCACTGATTCCAGCTGAGCAGGAAGCTGTCCCCAGAGCCACAGGCACACAGCCTGCCTTCCTGGCAGGAACACCACCACCACAGCTACCCCAGGGTGCAGCTCTCCTCCAGGAAGCATCACACAGTCCAAATCAAACTTAGCTTGGCTACTCTGTATTCAGAGCTGGGGTATATTAGGCTGTGGTTCTGTGTTGCACTGTCGCAGTTGGCTTTGCACTGGTGTAAGGTGTGAAGTGTCCTCACACTCAATAGTTAAACATTAAGCTGAAACATGAGCAAGATTCCTCTGTGAGATTCCTATCTTCCATTGGATACATCACGTTCCCATGAGCACCTGGGCGCTCATGGCTCCTCACTGGCACATCTTGTAAGGGGAATATTTAGTTAATTATTTTCAGTTTGCTCCCTGTAATGTCTCTGCTTCCTATATACAGAGCCAAACAGCCAGCAGATAAATTGCTTGGAGAACCATAGCAGTGTTGGGCTTTGTTGTTCAATTTTCACAGCCTGTAAAATGAGGCTTTTAGATTTGCTGCTGGAAAACTGCCTCTATTTTTGACATAGTTTCTTAAGGCAACTAAAATTAGCTAAGCTATTTAGTTGGAACATAGTTTTGAAGGATGGGATCCATGAAATTGATGCCAAAGAAAGCTGGAGCCTTAAAGCGCATTTCCATTACATTTTGAAATTAAGTGACTGACAAATATTCAACTACATCAATTATTAACCTTAACTGAAGATACATTGTTTCCAAGTATTCTTTATTTTTGTCCATTAGAAAAACCATGACTAACTTCAAGTTATGCTGACTCTGTTAGGGGTAGGCTAAAATAAAATAAGCCCTAAGCATGTAGCACAAACAGAGCAAGTAACTGAACGTGCTTCAAGTAGCTGTGCATGGTGATGCATGGAAAAGAGATGTCTGGTAAGTCTCTTGAAGTGCTCTTTAAAGTCTTCCCTTGTAGCCTCACCTCATGCTAAATGTACTTCCAAGGAGTAGAAATGGAAAGTTTACACAACTACTTTCTGTTTTTTGTGTGGCATCTGAATGGGAGATGGTATTCCTAACTCTGTGTGCAAATGATGTTAGTAGTGTGTAGCGTTCTTTAAATAAGGTTCAGTTAACCTCAGAAGTAGCTGAGTTTGTTGCAGTAGAGATGCTCAGTACTCCTTACCTGCTTTCCCACAGTTGTAAAAGCTTTAGCTTCAAGTTGGCAAAGCCAGTCAAGCACATCTGAGTTCTTAAGCCACATCCAGCTACAGTTGTACAAGTGTTAGCCCGCTTCTGACTATCTCAGAAAAGACCCTCATGTTGTAAGGAGTGTAAATTATACTAAACAAACAGTTTTCCTGAACCTTCCCTTTCCAGCATAGACTGTTTTCCTACCAGCCTTCAGGAGTTTGGAATAACACAGGAGCCAGTCTGACATGGCTGTACTGTGGTGTAAGTCAATCGATAGTTGCTGTGCCCTGCTTTGTTTTACAGGTGCAGCATTCATCTTTTGTTCACTAGAAGTGCTTTAAACACACAAGTAAAGCTAACAACTACTTTTTGGTTCTCCCACTGCTTGCTTTCATGTGAAGAACTCTATTTCTTGTGCAGGGAGCTCTTGGAGGAGAGTGGACTGACTGTGGACACCTTGCAGAAGATGGGTCAGATCACATTTGAATTTGTGGGCAACTCTGAACTCATGGATGTCCACATTTTCCGGGCAGATGATTTTCATGGAGAGCCAACAGAAAGCGATGGTAGGTGGAAGGGAAGGAAGGATGTGCATTCTCTTTTGAGACAGTATTGCTCTTAGGAACTGTGGAACAATTCATGCCAAAATCCCTCCGAGAAGGGAGGCAGCTGTGCTGCAGAGTGAAAAACTTACTGACAGATACTCAAAGTCAGGCAGCAAAAAACCCCCAAGAGAAAGTCTCATGCAAAGTTGTTCTGTTTTCTCCCACCAGAAATGTGTCCCCAGTGGTTTCAGCTGGATGAGGTGCCGTTCAATCACATGTGGGCGGATGATATCTACTGGTTTCCCCTGGTGCTTCAAAAGAAGTTGTTTCGGGGCTATTTTAAGTTCCAGGGACAAGACACTATCCTGGAGCACACTCTGAAAGAAGTAGAGGAACTTTAAGAAAACAGAAGCAGTCAACCCATGTACTGCTGCTGCCCACATTGGGCTACACCACCATGAGTACTACTTCTAAGGGTCTTCTTTCTTCAGCTCTCCAGCAAAGGAGACTGATGTGTCAGGTGGGAAGTAAGGAAAATAAGGGGTTTCTTAGAGCAGAAATAAAAGTAATGAGATTGTCCATGCTGTGAAGTCCCCGGCTGTGTTACACTTCAGCCAGGGTTATGTGATCACAGCTATTAAAAACATAGTGTTAACTCTTTTCTGCACAGGTGAATGATGTTTTAGGCTTTCCCATCACGGCTGGAAATGGTTTTTTAAAAGATTAAAGATATTTTTTAGTAAAAGCATGTGTTGTTCTGTTGTAAACTGCTGGCTGCCTTCTCAGCTGGTTAAGGGCCTTTCTGGAGTTGGCTTCCTTTCACAGAAGCATTAAGTGGACAGTGAGGCAGCAGAATCGATTATCTTCTCTGTGCCAGTTTCTATCCAGTTCCCTATTCAGCATTAACTCCTGGGGCAAGGCAAAGCTTGACCAGCGCTGCAAAAGCCCTTTGTAAAGTGGAAGTAGAGATCCCTTCAGGATTCTCCAGCTGAAGGTAGCGTGAGGATGTAAGAGTGAAGCAAACAAAAGTCAGGTTGACGTATGGCACTGCTGGAGCCCTGGATTTCACTCCTGCAGCTTCTACCATGAACTTGAACTGTTTTGAGCAATTCAGGTAAAAATATGCTGAACTAAATCAAGTTTGAGCAAATCCACATTGCAAAGTGCCATCACCTATGGCTATAAGCTTTGCCATGTGTTGGCAGCAAGGGACCTGCTCAGCACAACTCAGCACACTGGGCAGCAAAAGCTTAATGAAACCATGCTAGAAATAACACATCACATATGTAACTTCTTACACAAGTTTTGTTTGGTTTTTGTTTTAAACTTTTACAAACACATATAACACAGATAGAATCTTGGAATGTAATATAGGCTCTGTAAACATTTCCAGTCTACCAGCTGTAGTAATAGTTCTTTAATTCCTGCATTTTGGATAAAGTGCTTCATACATAAGGCTATTTGAGCAAAGCAAAGATACAGGATATTCCAGGCAGGCAAAATTCACACCCTCTGAACAAGATTGTTTATTCTTGTCTCCCTCCAGCAGTTCTGAATGATTTATAGCACTCAAAAATGCCCTTCTTCATGTGCTCAGTAAGTCACAGCTCAGACAGAGGATACGAGTTAACACCTTAGAATCTTACTTTTCCTTTTGTGCTGCACGCAGAGTTATTTACAGAGTTCTTAATACTCCCCTCTGTTCCTGACACAGCAGTAAGAGGTTCTGGCTGTTCTAGTGGACAGAGGGCTTGAGGCAAGCAGAGGAGAGAAAATAGGCACAAGGGGACAGGTAGCTTGTAACAGGATGCAAGACCTGACTGCGTGGTAGGAAAGGGGGTTACTGGCAGCTCCTACCTGTGATGTTATCTTGGTTTATTTCCTGGTGGAAACTAAATGGCAAGCTGAGAGAGAGCAAGTTACTTTCTGTTCCTCCAGGAGTTTAGGAAGGAAAAGGACAAGTATGGCTCAGGCTTGAGATGCTTTCACCAGCACCAACTTTTACCTTATGTCAAAGAGCAGTGATGTTATTGCTCCTGCTGCAGTTGTGGAGACTGACATGTTTTAAACAAGTTCTGTCCCCAGCTGGTGATCTTTGTCTTTTAGGAAACAGCACAAACTGAAGATTGGGAGTTAACCTGGTAGGAATTCCAGGAATTACACCCTTGCACGATCAAAGTAGAACAGTATAAGCACTGGAATGCAGCAAGGCATTGCTGAACACATTACAACTGAGGAGGAACAACTTGCAAAGATGGAAGGAGGGGGAGAGCAGGATCAAAGATTAAGGTTGTATTGTAAATATAGCTTGGAAAGCCTTTCAACGCATGATACTGGTCAAAAAGCCTCTATATTGCCATTTCACAGCTCAGAGCAGAGGAGACCTCAGGAGTGACAAAAACATATAGCCCTTTTGGTAAAACAGTTTTCAGGCACGGTTTCAGGTTCTCAGCTCTTTACCACCGTGGTACCTCCACAACAGGCTTGACAGAAACACTGACAGGAACTTTGGAGGCCTTTTCTACCATCCCTGTGTTGAACACATGAAAGTCCCTGTGACCTCCAGCAACACACAGAAAGCTTCCACTCAAGAAGGCACATTAACTCTTTGGCGCTACATCTTACAGGAGCATCAGTCCTTGGACAGGCATCAATTAGTCTTCTGGTTTGATTAGTGTTTAGTGCAATCTACCCAGCTACCAGCAATGGAACCAACTCCATTAAGTCTTGTTCCCACCCTTGTGTATAGCTGGGCTGCTTGCTGCAGAAGGCAAGAGCACGGAGGTAACTAGAACTGATTCTCCTACACTGATGTGGGGAGATAAAACAACCAAAGTCACCTTCACTGACTCGCTGCTGCATTCCTCTACAGGAAGGAAGCTGTACTTGTGCTGCTCCCCAAGCCTGGCAGATCCATGAACTAAACAGAACAAATACAGTAAGGAAAGCCCTCATGTATTGAGGTAAACGTAACAGTGCTATCTGCACACTGACCAGTCTCCCAAAAATATGGCTTGCAAATTAAGGGCTGTTATGAAATAGTGTAGGCATGTATTTAGGAATGAGACAGAAGCTTGACAGTCCAGTACGAGAGAAACTCTGAAAGTGCCATTAGCTGTATCAGCTTTGAGAATACCAGGCCTCTGTTCTCAAAACAGTAGGTGAACAGAGTAAAACCCAGCCAAGGAAACCCACCCCCAAAACTGCTCCCCTCAAAGAGGTGAGCATGGAAGAATGGGGATTTCCTCCAAACAACATAATTCCAGTTTCTTTACAGGTCATGTGGTCTGTATTTATCATCATTACAGTCACTGCTTTTGGACTGCAGAATTCCTGCTTTGAAGGAGAACAGGAAAAGAGGAGTTAGTCTAAAGCCCAAATGTGGGTTTGACATTCGGGGTATTTTGTGTTTTCTTTTTTTGTTTTGTTTTTAAATAAAATCCAAAATTGTAACTTCAGATAAAAGTGAGAAATGCAAAGTTCCATTCAGGCCAATACTTAGCAAGTGCTCCTGTGGAACACAGCCCTGTCATCTACCCCAGCCAGACAAGTTACACAGAAGATCCACCATCTAGATATCAGCTCTTGCCCCAAAACATGGTATTTTCTCAATCTGCCTGTTCACCACATCCGGCAAACGAGGCTAAACAAGGTTCAGAGACTAAGCAAACGACAGGCTGTCACCAGCCAGCACCTTCTACAGATGCTGGGAGCAAAGAGCATTTAAAATTACAGCAACATGCTTTCCACACTTCAACCACAAACATCTTCCTAATCAAGACAAGGTCAAGCAGAAAAACCTGTGCCAGTCTTGAGATAGTGTCTTCTTCATTCCTGAACTGCACAAATGTTTCCCTTCCCAAACAGTTTGCTCTGGCTCTGCTGCACCACTGTGGAAATCTTCAGGAGCAAGTATTAACCCTGTCTGGTTGGTCATGGCTAATACACAGGAGGAGAGACTGAGGGGAGAGTTAACATTTGAATTGCTCTAAAAAGCTCTTAATTCTGAGCTGTTGTTAAACAGGACACCCTACACACTCCTTAAGGCCCAACACACAAGAAATTCATCCACTTAAGAGCACTTTACATTTTGAGGGATGTGTGTAATGCTCATGGAACTGGGCAAGAAACTTACTATCTCACTCCTAGCTAAAGAAACTAACCCATAATTTCCACTTGGACTAGGAAGAACATCATGTTGCATTGAACTTACTAAATTAAAAAGAAAGCTTTTGTGTTTGGAGGATTTAAATCTATTCCCTACTAACAGGGACATTCCCCAGTGGGAAATCCTACAACGGTTCCAGTTTGAGAGTGAGCACTCACCCTTGGTAACATGCTTTTTATCCACTCAAAGAAAACACTAAGAAGCCAAGCCTCAAATCCCCCTTTGGCAGCTATTTTGACCCCACAGAAGCCAGGTTCAGGGGAGTCCTGTTCACGCTGAGTTTTGCTGCACACATTTGCAGTTTCCTCAGTGATCAGTTTTTCTGGAGGATATGCACATTTCCCCTGAGGAAACATATGATTCTGTGGCACGCAAGGTCTCCTGCCCCTCCCCTTGGCCTCATGAGGGAAAGTCACCAGAGAAACAAAGTAAAACATAGAGAATGTTTGGTCCCTCATCACAAACCATTCTGAAAACCCTCTTACCAAGGACTGTGCTATTCTGAGAGAGAACTGTCCCTTAATTGTCTTCCCTCCTTCACAAACACACTCCAGTGCTACCCACAGCCAGAAATAAAAAGAATGACAGTAACATCCTGATAAATACTGATTTTTTGCTAACGAACTTTATCAGCATCACGTCCCAGCCTGCTGGTGCAACAGGATACTGCATCTGATATTAGACCAAGGAAAACACCAGCCTTCGGGTCAGCAGCTCTCCACCAGTTCTAAACAGCTACTCAAGATGGATGTCAGAACCTCCAGAAGACAATAACCGAGGTACCTTGTAGCTGTTCTGCTCGGGTAGTACGAGTGGTTTGCAATGAAGGAGTCTTTTATTCTATTACTTCCTCATTTACACCAGGCAAATTCCTCTGAGTTCCTGAACCCGGTTGTCTTTGGCCCCAAACTGAAAGAGATGAGCAAGTCCCCAGGGTGCCCTGCAGTGGTGAACACAGGACACAACAGCCTGCTCAGCTCCACAGGGACAATCCTGCTCCCCCAGCAGCACAGAGCCCCACCCCAACCACTTCATCCATGTATCTTGTGCTAAGGTCTAGCAGTGAGAAATCAAATCCAATGGGATGAGGGATGGCTTTCAGCTTTTCTTATGCATGTATGTCCCTAACACAGGCCCTCTCCAGCTTAAAAGGCAAACCATCTCTACTACAAGCAAGTGCTTCAGATCTCTTGTTCATCTCAGCACTTCAGAGATGGGTCAGCACGTGTGCACATAATCATTACTGGAGGACTGTTAGTACAAGATGCAGAGGCATCAGCAACAACACTGCAGCACTCACTGCACCGGGTCACGTCCTGACCCCATGAAGAGTGTCTGCAAGAAAACGAACATCAGCTCTGCCCCAGAGCATTTCAAAATGAAGAGATTGTCTCTATATCCATATGTTCTGCCCCACATCCAGTCTGTCTTAATCAGAGAGCAGCTCAAAGCAGCAGTATTACAAAATAAAAATAGCTGTTTGGAGGATTCATT